GCTGGAGAAGAGGCTGTTTTTTGGTCAAGTAATCTTAATTACTCCCAAAAATGTGCAGTAACTGTCGTAATTAATTTAGGACTATACGCACAAAAGTGAAGTAGGTCATTTTAGTATGCCAGAAAAACTATTGCTGGATTTTACCTTAAATAAACTATGTTCCTTAATCAATTAGCAAAAAAATTTTACCACTAAAAAGCGTGCCATTGCGCATACCCATTGGGCTTATTTACCGACTGCAGTGCAGGAGAAGCATGGCGACTTGAAAAGCTTTTCTAACAAGTGACGATAAACTTAAAAAATTAAAAACGATAAGTTGTGAAAGTCGATCAGCCAAAATCTCACTAGGGTCCCTTTTAGTTTGCTTTTTACTACCTATTGAAAATATTGCTTCTCATTATAAATGACGTGATTTATACGTAGTAAAATGGTTTACTGAGCATATCAAATTTCATTTAAGTTAAATATGCACAAAATGAGCTCCGCAGAGATCCACGTAAATTCATATTTCACGCTAAACTACTGATGTGCAAGTGCAGGAAAGCTGTCGAAGCAATTTCAGATATAATACATAATCATAATTTATAACCTTTTTTATAGTCAACATTTGGTATTCTACATTTTAAGCACACAAAGTAGAGGCTTACAAAAGACCATTCTGGCTGCCACTGTAACTTACCCAAAAGCGTCAAACATTTCTCATTCATTTATTTTGGTCATTTTTACTTCTATTACACCCATATTAATGATAAATTAACTAGACATCTAGAAGAACTTAGGAACAATAAAAGCACAGACAACAAGCAATAAAAAAAAGATTAGCTCTATTGTGCTTCCTAAATAGCTGATTTAAATTGTCGCCCAGTGGTATGTGAAATTAATAAATTTAAAAAACTTTTAGTGTCAAATTCATCAGAGGCATACAGTGTGTAGACAGTAGAATATGTAGAAAAAAATACAACAAAAATACTATAGAAGTGGCAAGAGTATTCCACAGTAGATTTTTCTGTACATTTATGCTTTGCACTTCCTGAAAATATTTCCAAACAAACACGTCTTATTTAGCTGTGTTCTGATTTACCGTCTGTAGTAAATTATCACTCCTTCATTTTCCTTTTTGTTCTACTTAGTCTATTTAGTCTATAAGACATAAATGTAGTTTCTAGTTGGAGAACGAGAATATAAGAAGAAAAAAATTTGCAGTCGAAAGTCGGTAAAAAATGAATTTCACAAATAAAAATCCCTAATAGACTTGCTAGCAACGTGTGTATATTTGTACTGCACCAACAACATATGATAAACAAAAGTTAAAATTCTGGTATTTTAACTGAAAATTCAAGAAGAAAAACTAAGTTTAACAAAATTATTATGTATTTAACAGTTTGGAACTTATGAGCGTCCCAGCAAGACATTGTCAACTTCGTCTTTTAACTCCAAGACACTGCCTGGCGTTCCCATTAATTGATATTTTCAATCAGTTCGGTATATCTGCGATTTCTTTCTGCTTGATGAGCATCATGAGATGTAAAAAATGAAAAACAACGATGGAGCGGATCTAAAGATGGTAGAATATCCCGTGCTTATACTTTGCTGCCGTCCCCGTTTTGGGTACTGTTTGCAGGGGAATTATTCGTCGATAGAAAAAAATAACTAAGAAGAATCCGATAGTGAATTGGACCAGCTGCAGCATGTTCGGCCAAAGATAACCCCAATGCTCAAAGAGATTTCTGTAAAATGAGACAGTAACTTGATGATTTCCAATCAAAAAAACTTAGGGGTTTTTATATGATATCATCATTGAAAGAGTAGTTTCGACTAGCGCATAAACCTACGTTGTAATCAGAGGCCCAATGCATCTTGCAATGCTACCAAATAAGTCGAAAACTCCTTGCATGAATCCCTGAAAGAATCCAACAACGACTGTGGCATATAGATGTATAATGAAAAACTGGAGTTTCAGTACTTTCATAGCGAATTAAATAAAGAATAGACAGACGACTGAATGAAAACAGCAAATACTTGATTTCGTGGCCCTAAAATTTGCGAATATATAGTTCCAGTAGGTGCAGCAAAGTATGGAAATGAGAGCCCATAAATTACTATATAGCTGAAGGTATAAAGTGGCAACGGCACGGCTGTCGTGTGATTGCACCACGCATACTTTCGATAACAACCGCCGCTGTAGGCAGTGTCTTCTTCAGTCGAATTTGCAGCTAAAGTCAGTCATACTGTGTTAAAATTTGCTCCAGACTGTGGTCAACTCCAGGTATTGAAAACCAAATAAAATAACAACTTTGAGCAATAAAAATTTAAAACTATGATTTTACGCTATCTAGTGACGAAAGAGTACTGACTATAAAAAAGAAACTTTTTTCCAAACTTACCAAATTCTATATACTTGAAACTTTTCGGATAAAATGGCCATGGAAGATTCAACAAGTAGTGTAGAATAAACCCAGCTAATGCACAAACCATCATTTTTCTTTTGCCACTAAAAAAAGAGGATTTAAGAAAATCTAGTAAGAATTCTGTAAACTTACGAATGCAACAATAAGCTACGCTTACAGTGACCCGATGCGCGTGTATGCAATCAAGAAATAGTTGCCTACGCTGAGAATACAGCTTGCTGTCTGAATTAAGCCATTGTTTAAAATTGCCTTGCTATCGTTCCAGGTAAACATAGAAATTGTAAGTGGTGATGCAATTCTAAAAATTTTTTTTCAATCTGTTGTCTATACCTAGCCAGTTTTTGTCCCATACTTGGGAAGTATTTTCAATGGGTTTTTAATTTCTTGCCTTCCTCGAAAAGGCGATAGATAACTTTTTATTATGCTGCATTAGCTTACACTTCTGTGTTGGTAATACTGCTCTGTTGAATGTACCACATGTAAATCATAACCGCCGCAGCAATTTTGTCAAACTTTGGTAAAACGGAATAAGGATCTGTAATATTTTTTAGTAATGTTTGCAGTTTACAAACATTTTCTTGTATAGACAACACATAACATTAGTCACATAAAAACGACTTTTAAAGTTTCAGCGTAAATGCAGAAATAATTAAGTACAATTAAAACGAAAAAAGTGTAGAAAAAGTGATAAGAAAACATCAACCTTTTTCTTCGTTACGTGTCATAATTCCAGCATAGCGTTCTTCAAAAAAGCAAAATAGTAAAATCAAGGAAAGTATAGAAAGAAGAATCATAAAATATGCTGGTATTGTGTACATATTGAACTGAATAGTCCCAATGCTAAAACCTTGTTCTTTGATCGGAGAGAACATTGACTGAAATCAGTAATTATAGTACACTTCAAAAAAAAATTTTTTTTTGAAGTTTATATACTCATCTAATATTGGTAATTCAAAAACTGTTTACTTAACAGCAAAAAAAAATACATATTTCTGTGCGCGTATTTACGCTGACCGGAATCAAAGAACCTTACAATATTATCAGTTTAAACTTCTTTTCTAAGCTTTTTACATCGTGTAAATAAAATAACTTTTGAATTATACCTGCACTGCAGGACCTAACGATTGGCCAAAGACAAAGGCTGCAATACACAGAGCCATAGCTCGTTTCCTATCTTTTGCTGTGCTTGCAGTTGCACAATAGGCTCGAAGTACACTGATATTTCCTTAAGAACTGTTTGCCTTATTAAAGATGTGTAAGCATAAAAATTAGAGTTAGGTAAAAGCTTAAAATCTAATAGCCCTTTTGACGCTCTTTATTTCAAGAGTTTCTAATCAAGTTATTTTCAAGAAAGCACTTTTTTCAGCTTTAATAATCTCTGTTTCAGTGCTGACGCTCATTTTAATTCAACTTTATTACCTGTACCAAATCCGACAAAAATTCTTGCAACAAGCATAAACCATTTGACTTCATATTTAATAGTTGGCAAGAGCGCATAAAGAAGATTGCCAACTGCAGTGAGAATAAGTCCACATGCGGTCGGTCCTTTTGTTGAGCGACTTTTTTGACTCCAGAAACCAAATAGTGGACTAGATAATGACATACCAAGTGAGAAGCACGCAGTAATTATGCCAACAAAGCCAAGTGACACTTCGTGATCCAACTAAGAAGAAAAGCAAATTAAGTTACTTTTGAAATATTCGATATAATGAAAAAATATTTCTGTATATAGTTGACTAACTCCACTTAGATACGGCCACATGGAGGTGAAATAGACAGCAAATTGAATACCACACAAAAACTGAATAAAATTTGCGAGCCATAGTGAGCCCCATGGTGACTCACCATTTTCGATGTCGTATCCAGCTCTGAAGAAAATGACTTAAAGGTTATGAATGATCGATATACTCACAGTTTAAAAAACTTAATTTTTAAATTTTATTTACAAAGTTTTTGTAGAGAGAAACTAAAATTGGTATATTAAAAGATTTAAACATTATCTGATCTTCTAATTTTCTCAAATTTAAAAAATTTTTAAAGTCAATAATCGCAACTTTTTTTCTTGCCATAAACTGTTTTGATAAAAAGTCAAAAAACGGTACTTTTCAGGTATGGTATCGCCTGTTTCAGTCGTAAACGATGAACCAACTTCAGATTCTTTTAATTTTTCAAGTTTTTCGACCGACAGCGTCTTAGGTTCTTCTTTGTTTTTTTCGTCTTGAGCGGAATTAATCGATATTCCCAGAGTCATTGTATCTCACCTGCAAATAAAATTTTTTTTATAGATAAAAGTTTTTTCATTTTTTGTTGTATCAAATATCGAATTTTTCATCGATTGGTAGCTTACACAAGGAAATAGGCAACCGATAAAATAGAGAGTTTACAGAACAGTCGAAAAACAGGATTAATAAATGAGAATTAGAGTACAAGCACAAAATGATGTAACTTGGAGCCTTTTAGAATAGTTAAACTAATTGAGGCATAAAGCAGCAGTCATACAGATGTTAATCAACAAATTAGAAGCTAAAATTGAAAAAGAAACCTCTAAATTAGATACTTAGCGATAGCGCTTATATACCGTCTAAGTTTGTTCACCGACACAAACAACAAAAGTGATAAAGACCTACAAGTATTGTTGGGCTATTGAAGCATGTGTAACTTTTCTGCTACAGCCAAACGACACTCTGGTAATCTTTGAGTTTTTTTACATCAATAAACTGTACTCGACGGGCTCATCACAGTGACCGAAAGATCAAATATGCAGATTAAAGAATAAATGTTGTTTTAATTCCACATTGTTACTTCAAATTTGCTGGTGATTTTTATTTGTTTATATGTATATAACGAAAAAAAAAAAATAATGATTGTTTTTTTTTGAACAACTTATCGCAGATTAACATTTCTGCGATTACTTGTTTTGCCTTTCGTCATTTTTCATAGCAAAGCTCTTTTCTTTTTCCGGTTTTTTTCTGTTTTTGTTTTTGAGCATTTATATATATATATTTATTTATACAGCTTATTTTTTTTCAAAGTAGTTGTTATAGAAATAAGCTATATAAATAAATATATATGTATATTTAGTTATTTATATAGCTTATTTGTTTTTGAAATAATTGTTAAAGAAATAAACCAGTGATGAGAAACGCTTTTTAGCGCAAATGTGCACCTTCCTTTCTATCCTCTTTATCCCACTCATTTAATTAATTAATTCTTTCGTAAACATGCCAAGTTACACTAGTAGATGTGAAAATATCGCTGCTAAGGTGTTGATTTTTAGATGCAGCATGTAAGTCAGAAAAACATAAATTTTATCTGCTAAGAGTGCGTTTGTTTTAAACCTCAAAGGATAAGTAATATAGAGTGTGGTGTTTTTAAACTCATAACAACCACCTTGAAAGCCCAAATTTGTTAGTTGCTCAACGCAGTATTTGCAATTGAGTCTTCTGTTACTCCAATTAAATCTCCAAAAAATTGTCTTATCATATCTTTTCAAAGACTTGGCACTTCTGAAAGATTAGATTTTTTTATTATCAAAACCAAATGTCAAACTGGTCAGAAAGATTTAGAAATTTTTATAGAAATAACTACTCAACTGTAACTGGTTTGAAATAACTGCTTCTCAGACAGAAAACAGTTAACTCAATCATTGTCTTTGATTTAAAAACCGATGATGATTTTATTAAATTGAAGTAAAAAAAGCAGATGTTTATAAATAGAATGTTTTAGAAAAAAACGGAAAAGAAAAACGAGAAAAAACACACTCAGTATTTTTTAAATCAGTTTTTTAATAATACACTTAAGTAAAATATTTTTGTACTTTCAAAGATCTCTAAGCAACAAACAATTAAATTTTCATAGACTTAAATAAAGCTATTTTTTCTTAACAAAATATAAACTGTTAACAAATATTGACAGATATCACAGCTACAGACTATCAAAAGTTTTGAAAATAATTCATTTACTGGTTTTTTCTCAAATAAATATCATACAGAGCTAACCAACTACTTACTTCATAACTTGATTATCATTCTTAAGCGTTGGAATGTGTAAATCTGAAAATTTTTTGTTTTTACTATGACAAAACCGTCTGTGAGGCATCGAAGTCCAAAAAATCGCTGTTTCATTACCGTTGTTTTTAGTGAATTTTGAAATTTTTAATAGGTTTCAAATACCTTTCTCTTTTTTTTCTTCTTTCAAATTCCTGTCCTTTTCCTGCACCGCTGTCAGAAATGCAAGATAAAAAACCTCTTTTAATTTATTTTAGATTACTGAACTCTAAAAGACATCATGTGAATTAGCAACTACCTAGTTTGTAGTGTGTAACTGATTAGCTTTTCAGATGCCGCTAAGTTCCATTTTCAAACATGCTGCTTCTCTGCAGCATTTTCTTTACGGTTTTCCCCTCCCTCAGCGACTTCGTAGTGTATAACCAAAATTGTTGAGTAAATGAGACAACAAACTACATTCATTTCTCGTAAAATAATTTAATTGCAAATGCGTACAAATGCGCACACAGCTATCTTTATCAAAAAAAAAAAAAAAAAAAAA